AAAGTAAAAACACACTCATTATTCGGTAGTGAACAGCCAAGAATTAATATAAAAAACATGCTTGTTTTACACACCCTTAAGTAGGATTGTTTTCTGAATATATACATTAAGTCTAGTAAATATTTTTAAAATTAAATTCTCAACCATCGAAAAATACATTTTAATACAACAATGTTCTGAACTCTTATCATAATGTATTGTTTAGAATCTTGTAAAGTTAATAAAAAAATGTCCATCATCTAACTATCATATTATTTTAAATATCCTTTTTGTAAGACACGGTTTAATGTTAGTACTTGGCATACTTAAAATAAACCAAAACCAAGCTACGGTAGTATATTTGTTGTTAATTTTACTCCTAACTAGAGGCCTAATACTGAATATCAACATTGTTTGTGTAGACCAGGGGTCTCCAAAATACGGCCCGTGGGCCGAATGCGGCCCGCGAGTTCCTCTCATCCGGCCCTCGGAGATCTTTTTGTCCACAGAAAAAAACATGTTTGTTGTCGGTGGCTGAGGAAAAATGCCCCCCCCCCCCCCCAATGAGATGCCTGGAAGAAACTCTGGCCCTCGAACTTAGAAATTGATAGTTAATGCGGCCCTCGGGCTGAAAAGTTTGGAGACCCCTGGTGTAGACAAAACGATGTTTTAAATATGCAAACGATGAATCACTGTGTTTTAATTGCATTATCTTTAGTTTGCACAATGCACTGACATTAAATCGAAAACACTTATACTAGATAATATCATTATCAGCAGCTAACATCAGGACATCATTTCGATCATCCGTTTTCTAAAGATTTTTTTATGGAAACAGAAGAACAAATTAATTCGGCACTTTTAAAAAAGCAGATTATCTCCTTTGATTTTAAACAAGCATAAACCCATATTACATGTTTAAATTTTACATTTTTACGTAATATATTTAAATTTGAATAAGTAAACATTCATACGCATCCGTATTTAAGCGACCTTCTATTTTATTGATTGAACAGGTGTAAAAATCATTTTTTTTAAAATTATATTTACTCTTCGATCTGACTCTGACACCCCTCTGCCCTCCCCCCTTTTCCCCGATGTTATTGTGTTACAGTGGGGAAGTTGACAGCGTGATAGTCGCCTTATGTTATGGTAGTAAGTGCATGTGTACCTGTGATGGATAAATGAGTCAAGTCTGACACAGAGTACCTCAGTATACAACGGTGCTGAAAAAAAGTTTTAAATCTTAACAGAATTTAAAGTTCCACAAGAAGAGATTTAGGAAAGAGTTCGTGCTTTATGCCAAACATCCTGAATATAAAGTGACTTCATGGTCGGATGGTGGAGCTTATTACTGCTAGCCAGTGGCGTCGACTGGTCGGGTGTCACCCGGTGCGGCATATCGCGGTGTCACCCCTCCGCCAAAGAAAAAAGTGTATATATATATGTATATATATGTGTGTGTGTGTATGTGTGTGTGTCGGCCTAAATAGGCCTATAATACCCTGCCCTTTTGCAATAATTGTTAATTTGTACTTAAAAGACTATTTAACTTTAATCACTAAAATGGATCTGACAAAAAAGTCATTTTTCTTCTGTACTTTTTGCAATTTTTTTCCTTGGTGTCACCCCCCCCTCCTAAATGGTGTCACCCGGTGCGGTCCGCACCCCCCCCCCCCCCCTCCCCGCCACCCCTCGCCTCTGCTGCTAGTTTGAAATTTTTCAGTAAAGATCCCAGGTTGAGTCTGTAGGACATCTTCGAGTCCATCCAGCTTTGACAGTTAGCGTTAAGGAAACTTTATAGGGAAGTAAAGGTGGCTGGGCAGTGCTGACTGTAGTCGGACACATCAGGATCTGGATAGGTTAATATTTACGGTCCAGACAATACAGCATTCTTAGTATGATGGTTGCTAATTGCTCAAGAAAAAGATCTTAATCTCGCCTGAAGAGGATCAACTAAATTAACTTAGAAAAATATGATCTCACTTTCATGTACATTGAAAATGAAAAAAAAAAAATACTCAATGCAAACAGGTCTTATATAACTAATTCGAAAACCCCAGATAGACCCAAAATGTACTCAAAAATTTATTCTCCTAATAACCACTAAAAAAGTCTAACAAAAACCTTAGTCTCCAAAAAAAGAACAGTTCCTACACAAATTAATATATGTAACATCACAGTGAGGAACAAACAAAATCACTATCACCTAATCACAGAGATTATTCAGTATACACATGATAAAAATACCCAAGCATGCATTCTCAACTTAGACCAGGAAAAAGCTTTCGACTGAGTAGCGCACACATATCTTCACAAAATTCTCAAAACAATTTAGATTTGCTTTTCGTGACATGGGTTCTACTAAAACGCAGACAACCACCTACTGATAGACCATAACATGTCACAACCCTTTATTATTTTAAAATCAGTTTGACAAGGATTAGACAAATAGACATAATATTGAAAAAATGTAAATATTCTCAAAACCCGAAAAGCGCCGGGTGCTGCTAGATTCCAAATAATTATCAGACTATCTTATTAATCAAGTTCTCAAGTCAGGAATCTTTTCAGGGAGGAGGGGGGGGGTGAGATGCAGTAGAAGGGCAGCCCCCCCCCCCCCCATTAAAATAAAAAGTTATGATGGTAAAAAAAAATACTTTATCCAGCTTTCGCCCCTCGGAAATTTTAAGTGCCCCCCCCCCCCCCCCGAAGGAAAAAAGTCATAAAGAAACCACTAGAAGGCTTAACTATTCTTCAAAACAACATTTAGGCCAGGTGCTTTGGTGAAAAGTAAAATCTGTGTTTCTGAAATTTAAACATTACCACTGTTTGATGGTAGTTAATGCGATTGGCTCGAACGCGACTTGGCATTACAGAAGGTATATGGGACAAAACGTAATAGTGGCAATAAAAGTTGGCTATCCCCTAAAAAAATGTCAAAGTATTTCTTTCATACTTCACTTGAAGGGGGGTTACCTCAAGTAAGATTCTCCCAAAAGGGCGGAATAAGAATATTATTAAAAACGAGCTGACCCGCAGCGTATCATACGCCGCTATTTAGTTGTTTTATTTTCTACTTTTCAGTAATTCATAATTTGTCAATTCGACAGTACCAATGCTGCCACTGAAAATATTTGCTTTAAAACACTACCCCCCCCCCCCTTTCCCCTAACCCCGACCCTACACCCAACCCCCCCCCCCCCCCCCCCCCCCCCCCCCCGTGAAACAGCCTCCTCTTAGTTATTTCTTAGTTACCTCCTGTAAGTTTAAAATCAAACTAAATTATCTGCCCCTAATAGAAACCCGGCTCTACGATTTGTAAACATTCAGCTTTGTAAACATTTAGCGTGACAACAGCTCACCAGACAATGTGGGGGTGGTAGTGATAGTGAAAGAGAGGGGACTGCAAGGAGGCGCTTGCAGCTTGTTTTCTAACGGCTCCCAGAAGAGAATTATATATATAGATATTTGCTTTGATCTCTAGGGAGAATTGTCTGAAAGAAAAATTGCTAATATGCCTACTGTAGTATCATTACTGACAGACGAAGTAGTTCCCAACACCCTCTACTGCGCCTCCCTCCCCAACTAGGTGCCTCTCAGAAACTCCAGCTTCAAAAAGATGCAAGGTTTATTGCCTTTCTCAAACTCACAACCCAAATAAACCTTATCAGCAGTCTGGATAGTAGGTAACATGATACATTTTTTAATTTATCAGAATCACAATATACGTATTTTGTATATACTATACAAAAATATTAGTCCCAATATAGTGGGCTTTAGTTAGATCAAGAGAAAAAGTTGTTTGTAAATTAGTTGGTTTTTAATGATTTTCAAAGAATGATCAGCCACATACTTAAAAGAAAAACAAGGGTTTCTAGGTTTTGGAATTCTTTAATTTACAACACATCATGATTCAATACCAAACACCATGCACACACAGCCAGAAGACAACAGTTAAATAATGTAAATAAATTATGTACAGTATTTATAGTACAATGAATTTATATCTCTAAGTACTAAAATGTGTAAAAGTAATAAAAGTAAAAGTATAATTTACATAAATATCTTAAGAATGTTGACAATCAAGGAATGTATATAGGAAGGCCTACTTGATATGAATGTTTACCTTTTCAAGATAACTGTTGTGTTACAATAAAAAAACAATACAAGAACAATAATTTCATACTTTGGTACATTACAGTCCATTGTTTTTGTGTAGATGGTAGAATTTAGTGTAGATGTTTAAAATTTAAGCAATCACACTTAAATACAGGCACTGAAACCATAACCATTAAAATCAAATGTTAAGAACCAGATAATCAGACTTATTATTATAAAGTCTAATATCAGTAACATATTTATAAATGTAAATTTCAGTAAAATTATTTCGCATATGTAAATCACCGAGTAATATTTTTTTTAAAAATACCATTTATTTATAAAATTTAACAAAATCATCTCATAAAATAACTACATTTAAATGACAAACCACAGAGATTAGATGTCTTAACTTTTTAAAAATCCATCATTAGGAAGAGTACAATTCAAAAGTGTAAATAGATGTAGTTGACATTGGTTAATTTATCATACAATGTGGAGATTATGCATTAAAACAGTTTTAAACATGTTTCAAAGTGACCTCAAAAATTTACATTAAGAATATTTAGTCCTACATGGTATCAGACACAAGAATTGGGAATTAAAGTTTGGAATGGTGTGGTTGCATAATTAAGATTCAACAAGAACACTCAAATGTATTGGTATTAAAAGCAATAATAACACATATTGCAAGCCACCTAACAGTAGGTCTCAAAGTCGTACCTTTTATACGAAAAGTTAAAAAAAAAACATGTAGCAATAGCTGAAGTTGTTAATTTAAAATTATTATAGCTGCTAACAAAATCTTCCTTATAAGTCTACTTAAGGTAAAATAATAGCATCAACCCAGTGATATTATTAAACAAAGGGCTGGACAACCTTGACAATTACGATAATATTCTTGTAAAAGATTATATCATTTGAGGGTCCTACACCTCCGCTATGGTAACTGTAGTTGTCTCTGCAGTTGTTCGAGGAGTTACAGCATGTTCAATGGCTTCATTTTTCATTTCAGCATCTAAAAAAATATTTGTATAAATTATTTAAAAAAAGGACATTTGAAATTTATACTAAGAAATAGAGTTTAAATGCTCTTAAAATGTCCTTAGGAAAAAAAGGAAAATGATACACCTACTTTTGGTCATTTCGGTTAAACCATAAATCTGACCCCAAACACTAAAACAGACTATTTCCTAAATTAAAGCCAACTCAAACCATAAACCTAACCCTATGTCTAACCCTAATACTGCCTAATGATTAAGTTTTATGGTCAATTGGAATTTTTAAAAAATTTCTTAGATTTTTAAAAATTGTACAAAGCTTAAAATGGCTAAGATCTTAAATTCACTGAAAATCTTTTTTAATTGCAAGTGTGTCACTTAAGTTTAAATTAGTTTAGGAATAAGGAAACCTTCAGCAATTGACGTAAAATAAACAATTGCTATTTGAGATCGCTGATGTTGCTATTTTTTCCCCAAGTACGAAGAACATAAGTATTCAGGGTCACAGTCAGTTCACATAGGTTTAGAAATAAGTTGCTACAAGGAGGGGCAGATTAGTAACTTTTTTCAAAGTTTCAAAATTACTTAGAGGTTCAGAATTAAATGGTAAGCAGCATGAATTGGTAGAGGTGATTAAAATACTGATAGGCAAATTATATGTGATAACTTGTAAACAGAGCTACAAGGAACCATAAGTTACAAGATGAAAACCCCTAATTTAAGAAGATGACTCCAGAAACAATCAAAACTCAAAACCTTTCCCCGCCGTGGATCTCTCACCATACATTAACCATCAGTGACTCAATAGACACCATAGATAAAAAATCTGACTACGATCAAGAAGAACTAAAGAAAATAACATATAAGGACATTAAGGATCAGTACCCCAGCAATACCTTGATTAGAGTATTCACAGATGGCTCAGCTCAAGATGCCACAAAAAATGGCAGGGCTGGAATCCTTATTGAATGGCCAAACGGAGAAAGCTTAGAAAAGTCAATAGCCACAGGCAGCCTATCCGACAATTTTAGAGCAGAAAAAGAAGCTTTAGAGCATGCAGCAAACCTCCTGTCAGAACACCCTGTATCTCCAAATAGTCAGTCTTTCTTACAGATGCAAAATCTGTCCTGCAATCCCTAAAAAATCCAGAAACCTATACTCAATCACTCAGGACAGCCCTTGAAATACAAAATACCTGCAGCATAATTTTCTGCAGTGGATCCCGGGCCACTGCCAGATACAAGGAAACAAGATCGCGGACCGGCTGGCAAAAATTGGGGGAGAGAAAAAACAACCAGAAATCTCGCTACATCCAAAAGAAATCAAAAGAATCTTGAAAAAAACAAATAAACACAAATGTGGTCTGACACACACCCTCATTACAAAAAAGATGATGGATATAACAATTTGACACAAAAACAACAATGCATTATCTTTAGACTCAGAACAGGCCACAACAGACTAAAACAGCACATGCATAAAAAAACTAAAAATTGGGTGTGGCGAAATTTGCCCTTGTGGCAAGGCCCCGGAGAAAACGGAGCCCGTCCTTCAAGAATGTCCAAACTCTGGCCCCTACACACCCCACTCAGGAAAAATTATATGAGGCACCTGCTGATCTGGAGACCACAGTCCAGTTCATACACGAATTTGGGCTTGTAGTTAAATCTTTCATTATATACTTAACTAGCCGTCCCGGCCAGGCCCTGCTCTGGCTTCTGTGAAAAACCTTTCTGTTAAAGACCATTACCTGTGTGTTTAGTAATCATCATAAACCCGGCATTGCACACCCAAACCAAAACCAAAACAACAAAACGCAAACATAACGCTAACACAATTACAAATACAAACGAAAACAAAAACCTAACAACTAACCCAACCACAACCACAAACACCAATACGAACACAAAGAAAAAAAACAACGAAAAAGCAAACGAAAACAAACCGAATCCAAATGCAAAACCAACCACAAACCCAAAGAAAAAAACACAAACGAAAAAACAAACGAAAACAAACCAAATACAAACGCAAAACCAACCACAAACACAAATACAAACACAAACGCAAAGAAGATAAAACACAAACGAAAACGAAAAAAGAAAGAACAAAAACGAACCAAATCAAAACGCAACCACTAACGCAAACCCAACCTAAACACAAAGAAAACACTAACGCGAACATAAACGCACAGTGCTCAGAGTCTAGCCCGGGGCGGAATCGCCTGTTTCAGCTTAATAAACGACTATAGTACCCCAACTTATTCATAGTCTTTTGCACTCACTTTAATGAACGTAGGCGCGAAACCGAACACGGGAGGCCCGGGACCCCAAATAGCACCCTGTCTGGGCGCCAGAGGACGCACCAAGACGTCACCGCCTGATTGAACTTAGTAAACGACTATAGTACATAACTTATTCATAGTCTTTTGAACTCACGCGAACGTAGATACCATAGCGTACACCGGAAGGCCCGGGGCGCCAAATAGCACCCTGTCGGGGTGCCGGAGGACGCCCGGATTTGATTCACTTAAAGACTATAGTAACCTTTCTTATCCATTGTCTATCGCACTGTTAAAAACAAAATTATGCAGCATAGCGCTCACATGATAGCCCAGGGTGCCAAATCGAACCGTGCAAGGGCGCCGGCGGACGCGCCTGTTTCAATTTAGTGAACAAAAATGATAATACTCCAAGCTTATCCGTAAATGGAAAGAAATAAACATATAGGATTTGTAGGACCTGGCTTATTAAATGTTATTGATTTAAAAAAAAAAAATTATTGAACTGTATGTTCAGTGTATAGAATAAATAAAAGGCAGTGTTAAAAATACCTAACGACATTGCACTTAATCAATCCCCGCTAATTATGTAATTATTTTTTTTTCTTAACACCAAAAACAAAGTAATAAAATGTAAATTCTTCCTTCTTAAGAATTTTTTTTATTAAAGGGAAGTAACTGTGCAGTCAATACATTTCCGACACAATTTTAGAAATTTTATAAACGGCGATACACTTTTTAAAAATTTTATGTCGCGTTCATAATTGAAAATTATTCTTCTAAGTAAATAGAGTGAAAATTGTTTTTAAAGACTTTCAATGGTAATTTTTTGACTCGTAAATTTAGACTGTGAGCACGATAAAAAATCTAACACTTAAATCCATAGAACTGTCAACGACAAACTTTTTTTTTGCCACACGTTACAGAACTGAGCTTTATATATTAGATTAAGAACGAAGAAGAAGAAGAAGTTGACAATTTCGATTTTTAGGAAAGATAAATCATAATAGTTTAGGCATAATCGCAATATGTCATCCCTCGCTACTTCATGGTTCATTTAGTGCGGCCTCAATTCATCATGGATTGTGCAAAAATATTCATTAAAAATTCAAAATTGAGTATTTATAACATGAGAGTTATCTGCACATAAAGCAGAAGGCAGGGAATGTCCAAGCAATTCAAAATCCACATCTCAGATTGGCTGGCTAGTAAGCCCCCATTTGATACCCTTCCGATTTAACAGTCACGCCCCCAGTACCTGATGATGAGGCATCAACTAAGGAGCAGTATTAACCTGTGCAGGAAATCATCTTCATCTTCAACATTTCTAAAATCCAAGCGAAGAGAAGCTATCATCTGATAGTTACAGTTACGTTTTTTTTACGTACTTTATAATAAACCCAAAGTTGTTATAATAAGTATAAAAGAGTTCTAAAACCATATAGTAGGTACACTTTATTTACATCTACATGTTACCACACTCATATTATATTAATATTATTTCTACATTATTTTATTAATGTTATTTATACTATTAATATTTTATTTACGTTTGAAACTATTCTTAATTGTTCTTATGACAACATATGTACTTACATATTATACATACACAAAAAAGTACTAGGTTAAAAAGGAGAGGGTAACACTACTTTGCGGATTTTTCACTTATAGCGGCCAGTTCTGATCCCTATTAACCATGATAACTGGGGGATGACAGTATAATAACCATGATATTGAAAAAGTAAAACTACTTGCTAAACCACACAAGTATGCAACCCTGCAAATGTCGTTTTTAATAGTTAACGTTTTCAAAGTTTAGAATCTAATGTGACACTCTACAAATTATATACCAAATGAATCTGATGTAGAAGTAATTTAATAAAATATTGAAAAAATATAAAAATTTTGAAATTTGGTCATTACCATTAGGCAAATCACTTTCTCGGATTTCTTTAATTTTTGATATTTTCAGTGAGTTCTTCTTTTCTGCAGGGCCAATATCTTCTGGTCCTTGATCTGTAATTTCAATGAGAAAAAATTCATTGAAAATCAATACAAACATATCTCTTACATTTCTTTAACGTTTAAAATTACCACTTAATTCTAATATCATTAACTTATAATTCTAAATAGTAAACATAAAATAAATTTATCACAAATTACCTGTCATATTAATCTGGGTGTTTTCGGATCCATTACCCAACAATGTTCTATTTTGTTCAATGTGACTTTCACCTTTTAAAAGTAAATATAAACTTAAACTGTTATGGTAACACATGCCTACCCCTGACTACCAGAAGTAGAAACAGTCATAAACAAAAAGAGGAATTTGAATAAAAAAAAGAGGAAGATAAGCCCCCCCCCCCCCCTCCGAAGAGATGCCTGGAAGAAACTCTGAATGAGTTAGAGGAAGTGCTCCACTTTGCTAAGGCCATTTAGATTAGGCATGTTTACCATCTTTGTGGTTTTCTTAAAATAAATGCAATGAAGACTTCATTTTATTCATTAAATGTGTTGTCCTTGTAAAGGTTTTTAAAAAATTTATGTTTGTTGTTAATGAAAGTTTGTTTATTGTGAATTTATAAAAAGCCCATTCTACTTATAGATCTAGTTATATTTTAATTAAAGCTCCTTTCCTTAAAAATGGGGAAGGGGTGAGAAATGTGCACTTTTCTTAATTTCACATATGTATGAACACATAAAGGTCATGAAATATATGTATGTATAAAGCCACTAACTATATATTTACCTTTGGAGTAATTCACTTTGCTTTGATCTTTTCCATGGACTTTTTTACGCTTGAAATTGCTAAAAATAAAAGAGTGAAACTCATTGATTCGAGAAATCTTATCATTATCAATACTTTGCATTTCTTATTTAAATATAATTGAAGGCAAAAATTGAGATATCATTGCTACTAACAATAAAGAGGGTACGTATAATATTGAAATAACTAAATAGCATACTTAAGAAATAGATGGAGTTTTTTCCGACAGCAAACACAGCATAATACACCTAATCAGAAAAAAATATATTTCATTCAACAAACTTAAGTATATTTCTTGAATTTTTTAAAACATTACATGTAACAAATTTACTTCAAAAGATTGGGTTTTAAATTGCACATATTCAATGTAATAAAACAAATTGCCCATTTAAATAGAAATATAGGCCCATTATATATTTATTACCTGCAATAATGACCAAGACACTGCCTATACTTAATGATATCACTGAAAAAGATAAAATAATAAATTAATTAAAAACACTACCTAAACAGTATTGAGTTTTGCTGTAAAGCATTTAATTAACTACATGTCTCCTCCTCCATAAAAAATTAATAATGTATGTTACAAATCATGGGACGGAGTGGTCTAGCGGTAGAGAACTAGACTGCTAACCCATAAGTCTCGAATTCCCTTTCAAACCTTACGGTCTACAGGGCAAGTGAAGTAGAGTTCACTTGTTTCTGTGACCTCGGCATATGAAGGGATAATGTAGTCAGCACTATGCCCAGCTGCTTTTACTTTCCCTAATGTGAGTTAGGTACCCATTAGGGTTGGGTGGACTCAGGGACGGACTAATGACTTGAAGCCAGATTCAAATTTGCTAGGCCACTCTGTCCAATTTAATTTTAATGCTTAATTTTTCATAGAAATGTGGTTATTATATGCTGATGGTGGTCAATTTTGTATCAAATTTTTCTACTAGCTGAGCTGCAAAAGTTAATTTGAGCAATTTGGCAAGTAGCCTACTTTAAAGAAGAGATAGGGATATAATTAAAGGTGATGACTCATTAATAATGTAAAAATGAGGAAGTCTATCAAGCAAGGAAAAAAGATTCACATTATAATTACAAATAATATCATGTGCTTTAAGTGTTAAAAAACTATGGAATACCTAAAGTTCTGTTTTCCTTTGTTTCTTCTTGTGGTGTATTATCTGGAAAAAAATAAGTGTTTCATTTTATTTTCAAAATAATCATCAAACACTTTTATATTCTTTATAAAATACAAGCAAACCCACATCTCTACTTAATTAAAAGTTGTTATTGAGAATAAAGTAGTTTATGTTAATTATACAGTGTATTTCTTCTTTGTTTTTAATTGTAGTGGTAGAAGGGATTTAATCCAACACAAATTCAGTTATAGTGTGAACTGATTATGCGCTATATGGGCGGATGACTGCAATGTCAGACCATACTGACCCCTATGCAGTAAAAAAATACTACAAACAAAATAGCTTAACCATAGACACCATCGATAGAATTTTTTTTATGTGACACATTTATGGGTGTTTAATAAGTTCATATGTCAATAGTTGTTAACCTATAGACAAAAATAATATATAGCCGTCAATAGCAGTATTGGTTGCCATGGAAACCATGTAAAGGTGTGAAAACTAACACCTTCTCAAACCTCTATGACTTTGTTCTTATAAGAAATTATTAAAAGCTGATAAAAGATGCAGATTTCTCAAGCCAAACCATACATTTCTACATGTATTCATTGCGATAGCTTCTCAATTTTTAATACAAATTTTTACGTAAATTTATGTACAAAAATTAGGGGGTGGTGCTACATAAATATCAATATTTTCTAAAGTATTGTTGTAGACTTAATGTACAAACATAGTTTTGCAGATGGTATAATGCTAAATGAACTTGGAATGTTTCAGTCTTGTATGACAAGCGTTCCAAAGCCTTAGCAATTTTAATGTTGAATTTTGAGTAAAAATGCTAAGTTGAGAAAATGTGAAAAGAAGGGCGGAAATGGACAAAGGCACTGTGCGTTTCCTCTTATAGAAAACAGAAAAGGATGTCTTGTTATGTGTGGAAGAACAATTTGGCTAATAAAATATGCATAAATTTATGTTGTAAGTTTTAGATTTTGGATAGATTTTTCTATGTAAGCAGAAAATATGTATACAACAGGTAATGAATTAATTGAATGACTATTAAGCCTTACACATCCTATCAATCGATTCTTATTTTCAGAACAACTATCATCAAACCAGATTAAGTTCTGTTTGTTAGCCGATCTTCTCACTTCAATACAATGTCTATCCCTATTTAAATTGTAGCTTACACAAGTTTATAGCCTTTTGATAATAGCCTACTACACAATGCTGGGTACAGCGCTTGAGGCTAGACACGCCCCCGCCCAACCACCCCACAGCTGAATAGTGAGTGAAGATCCCAAAATGTTACCAATCCTGAAACTACAATTGGACAATTTTTAAAACCCTGAAACTTCATTTTGCACGGAATTTCAAAATACAATGTTAGTCCCATCTCAAACCTGACGGTCTATGGGGCAAGTGAAGTAGAGTTCACTTGTTTTCCCATCTCTAGGCCTACCCCCATAATGTGTTATTCTAGAACTCCCCCCCCCCCACCTTATGCTTGTAAGCCACAATACATAACAATTATTTATGTTACTAATACTTTGTTTATAGCCACAATAGTCACAGTTTGCCTTTTGTTCATAATACAGAAATGTGTAAAAATATCTAAGAACTATTTTAGTAGGCCTGAACAAGTGGTAGGCCTACAATAGAAATGTAGACTGTTGTATACCTGCTTTGATAGCATAACCCAGTATTTAATGTTTTTAGAACTTCCTTGCTTGATTTAAAGTGTGTAGTCAAGTAACAAATATTTTGCTAACCTCTACGTCTTGTTATTGAATAATAAGCCCACTATATGCAGACCCCTAATAAGATTGTCACTGTATTTCATACAGGGCTGACTTACTGTAGTTATTCAGAGCTTTAATTATTAACAGCCACAACAAAAACCTAAAACCCTGTTTTCCCAATTAACCACCAATAGGGTCATCCGTAAATGACGTCATGCTTTTTTTGACAATTTTTTACCCCCCCCCCCTCCCCTATGTCACAAAAAACCACCCCCCCACCCTAAAATGACGTCCCCAGTTTTTCTTCCAGACTTTTTTTCTCTGGAGGGGGGGGGGGGGGCGGGCATGGAAGAGATGCCTGGAAGAAACTCTGGATGTCCCACCTCAGCCTACAACCCCTCACCCCCCTCAAAATTTGCAGTTGAATTTTTCTTAAAATACGATTTTTTTTCAAAAATCTCGTCTGAACTCTGTCAACAGAGAATTTTAATCAATTCCTATTACAATTTATTAAAACAGATTTCTAAAACATGAAATAAATGCTAAAATTTGTTTTAATATTGCTTTTCAATAATGTAAAAGTGTGACGTCACACCATCTGAACCTCTCCCCCCCCAATCACACACCATCACAAAATTACGGACCCCTCCTCCTCCTACAAGTGTGACATCATTTATGAATGACCCCAATGTCCTTAAAGATATACATGATGACATAAAGATATATGGAAGTTTTAAGAAAGTTCATGTTGCGGAATAAAATAATTAAGTTGTTTTTTTTTCTACAAAGAAATAATTTTATAAGTCATTTCATGTCAGAGATGTAGCTAGAACGTGTAACTAAATTATTATTATAGCAGGACTACAAATTTTGTTTAATGACCTAAAACAATGCAGATCGAATTGTTTTTCTTAAATCTAGTAGTAGGCCCTTATTAATAATAAGCACTTTAAAATTAAACAGCGCTTGTACTTGTAGAACTGCCTTGACCGTGAGACAAGTTCTGTCAACAGCCTCACCCATCTGATACAGTCAATGTGTATTTGGTCCATAGCGCACGTGAGATTGACGATTACGTCATTTGCTATTGGTTTTTTTAACGACCGTGATAAATATGCCTATTGGCATTAGGAAATCTTGTTGGTTAATAGTTAAAAATCTAGATCTAGATCCACGACTATATTAATTATTAATATACTGCGAGGTCACTGTAAGTTGAGAGAGACCTAGAAGACCTTCTAAGGTCGCAGTGACCAAAACATCTGCTATCGTGGGGTACACAAAGAACCGTGATTGATCTAGGTTAGTAAAAACGTGTCTTCTTGCACATCTAAAATAACAGAACACAATAATTCGATAAATTATGTCTCGCTATTTACCCGTAATTCCGCAGCTACGTTTCGCCCTTTTGTGTTTTACCAACACCGAGAAAATTTTAATTTAAATAAATAGAAACCTACGCTCGCATAGTTCAGGCTATTCTTTTTTTTATTTAAACCTAAGGCTTATTTTCTTGAAGAAAAAATATTAGTTCTAGATGTAGGTTTAATTATAATCGAGATAATTTCCATGCGCGACCAGAATTTTAATGATTTAGGCCACATTCCAATTTTTTTCTTTACGGACATCACAGATCATGAGACAACAGACCACTCGCGGGGTCAATAAAGTTCACAATATAGAGTCAACGACTGCCGAGATATTGTCGGGAAGGGATTTGGGGGGGGGGGGGGGGGGTCGATTGTTATGATTGAAGATGTTTGAAACCATAGAACCGGATAACACGGAAATTTAACACAAGAAAAAAAAAGGTCGACACTAAATCGATTTTGATGTTTACTGTGGGCTTTTGCGTAACATTTGCGGCCTAATTCGGCAACAGGGGTGTCAAAATCGAAAAATTACGGACAAAACCGTACAAGTAGGTAGGCCCTAACAGAAAACAATGAATCTAGATCTAGAATCTAGTAACTCGTTAACGGAGATACCCGAAAAACGATGCTAAATTTAGCCCTCGGCTATCGTTTACGTCACGATCTAGAATCTAGGTTAGGAAGAGCCTATGCAAAACTGGTCAGGTTGAGGTCATACCGCGAGGCTCAGCAAAGGAGAGGGTTGGAAATAGTAGACTCCGAAGTTAACGCAGACCCATGGCAAAAAAAAAAAAGCCAGAAAAAGTTTAGATCCATCAGAATTGAATTTTTTTTAAAAATTCGATTTACGCACGGTCTTCAAGGTTTACATATAAAATTCAAGGGGTTTTGCTCATTTTTGGGGAAATTCAAGGGTTTTTAAAGGCCTTGAGATGTTTTTTGGAATTCAAGGGTTTTTCAAGGATTCAAGGTCCGCTACGGACCCTGTGTAAACTCCTCTTCATCTGCCCAATTGAGCGCCATGATAACTTTAATTTTTAAAACTTGACTCACACTGAACATAAACATAGGTGAAGGTCTCAGCAGTGACAAACTCAACACTCTCCCCGGAGATCCGCAGCTGGCTCTGGGTCCTGCAGGAGTAGTTCCCAGCATCCCCGGGGCTGGCGGAGTCTATTCGCAGCATGTCTGAAGTTGATCGAGTCTGGGCGGTTCCGTCAGGAAGTATTTTCATCCACGTAACTTCGTAAGGTTTAGGGTTGGCGTCCATGCTGCATTTCACTGCTATTACTTGTCCTTCGTCGACTGTCTGGGTAGAACTGATGTTAAAGATTGGGGGATCTGAAAGTGGTAAATCATGTTGTCAAATGTCATCGGTGACTTTATAAAATGATACTGCATTTTAAAAAAATATATGAGAGTCTCAATCCTTTAAACTTAGGGGTCATCCATTTATGACGTCCACAATTTTTTAAAATTTTGGACCACCCCTCCACAAAAATCCACTTTTTTTCCTTATACAAGTCCATATGCGTGTGGACGTCATAAATGGATGACCCCTTAAAAATAATTTTAAAAAAAATAAGCAATTGATGATAGAAATCAAAATTTTGTGTTTTTAAAATATGTGGCTTGAAATTATAATCTAATGTGTTTATTTTTTTAAATTGTAACCCATGATAAGATGGCCTTAATATACTTAATTTGCTTTTAAAAAATAAAATATTTGTTAAAAAATTCAATCAATAATATAGTGACACCCTTAATTCTTGGTAAATTAATTACCACTAACTAAATTTAATAATGCAGGAATTTGTATTAAGTACTTACATTGAATATTGAACTCCAGTGATCCTGAATTTTCACCAATGTTATTTTTAGCAAAGCAGGTGTATGTCCCATTATCTGCTTTACTGACTTGAGAAATTATTCGTCTTGGGTTATTTCCTTTAAGTAAAAAAAATGTTTGATAAATTAGGCAATAATAAGTATTAAGAATGTCTTTTATCATAATTTTTTATTTTTATTTAGACTTTTATTTTTTTTTATACATGGGAAACTACTCAAGATATTTTTTAAAAAATGAATTTGAAAACAGGAGTAGCTTCCCATTACACCTAATAAAAAAACAACAGTATGAACTTTAAGAATTCAAAATTTACACTAGAGATTATGTGGTCTATAATGTAGTAGATAAACAGAGTAGATGCTTAGTTATAAGTTCTCCTTATATTACCGTATAAACTGATACCATCTTTTGACCAAGACACAGATGTCACCACTGGGTTGGCATCTACGTCACAATATATTTCAATCTTCTTGCCAAGCTTTACACTGTAGGTGGGGGAATAGGGCTGGAATCCAATGGATGGGGAATCTGCCAAGGTGCGAAAATAACCAGATTATTATTATTATATAGAGCATGTAACTGTAATATTAGAAATATAACTTGGTATATAGTATAATAAAATAACAGAAAACATCCTAGATGTTTGTATTTATAAGCTATGTGGGCTAATCTACTTAAAACAAAATAAATCCCAATTCTTTGTTAACATTGGATACCTAATCCTCATTACAGAGAAAACTATCTAAAGCTTTAATCAGTTTTCTGATCAGCCTTAAATAAGTTGGTGTCTTGAACTTAAACACTGTTTATCTTTCAAATATTGATGCTCACTTTAAATGTAAAAGATGCAAATTTTTAGTGGCTGATTTTTAAAGCAAAATATGGTCCACATATTATACAAGGTAAGGATTCTACCGCTGAATTTTATTAGTTTTTGCAATATGTTAATAGTTAAAATATATATCCTTACAGCTATTTTTCAAAAGCTCTAGACTACTAACCCAAAAGTCTTCAGTCTAATCTGGGATCATGTAAAGAGAATACCATTTAGTCTACCCAACTCTAATGGGTACCTAGTACATGTTAGGGAAATTAAAGGCGTATGGGTATAGTATTGACCACACTATCCCCGTTTTCATAAGCCGAGGTAACAGAACTCTTCATCACTTGCCCCATGGACTATCAAGTTCAAAAAGAAAACTACTTTCTATCATACTGACCCCACCATACCTTCATAAGCCGAAGTCACAGAAACTGATGGAAGAGTAACTTTACTTTTTAAACTGATGAAGCATGAAGTAGCAATGCCTCTATTTAATTTGCAGGGACACCATTAAAAAACGAAGATACTTACATCGGACACTCATAACCACATAGTCTATCAGTTTGGTCATAACGTTGACATCGTTGTAGACAAGACAGGAATAGTTGGCCTGGTGGTCACTTTTGTCCAGTCTAACGCTGATGGTCAGACTAGATGTTCCACCTATCACAGTGGATGCTTTGTAATCAGAATTCTCTGGAATTTGAAACAATTTAAAAATGATGCAACTGTACACACATTTAAATCAATTAATTTATTAGTAGGATGAGAATTGGCAATTATGTAAAAATGTTTTGCTTAGAATATTTTGTAATACCAAGATATTTAGCTGGAATTGTTGTAAAATGTTGAGCTGACATTAGTTGGAGGAAAATAAATGAATCATAAACTCTTACTCCCTTTTTTATCTTATTACTGAATTTACTCAGAAAAAAACAATGGTATGCTTGATAAAAGCATGAATAGGTAGTATAATTTTGCAATAATTTAAAAAATTAACATTTCTAATTTTTTTTCTGAATGACTCACAGTTTTCTAAATGGTAGTTGGATAGTCGACAGAGATTTTAGGGTGGAGGGAATAAAAAAAAAACTTGCTTGGGACTTGTTTAAGATCATTTTAACTAGATTAACCAAGTAGAATTATATTTTATTACTGACTGACAATCATGAAAGGGGTTAAGGATTCCTTTATTTAAAGAAATAAAATATGACAAATTATTTACTCATTTAACATATTCAAAATTTTACAAGGAGGTATAGATATAATAAGAATATTCTGTGAAGTGCTGATGTAATGTGGTGTATATTCTTAACCTGCTGTGATGTGTGTGTGTATGTATATGTGATGTGGTGTGTATATACGTGCCAGCTGTGATGTGTGTGTATCTATACTAGATGTATTGATAATATACTTGCCTGCTGTGATGTATGTGTGTGTGTATATACTTGCCTGCTGTGATGTGTGTGTGTATCTATGCTTGATGTATTGTGTATATACTTGCCTGCTGTAATGTGTGTGTGTATCTATGCTTGATGAATTTTGTATATACTTGCCTGCTGTAATGTGTGTGTGTGTATCTATACTTGATGTATTGTCTATATACTTGCCTGCTGTGATGTGTGTGTATGAATACTTGATGTATTGTCTATATACTTGCCTGCTGTGATGTGTGTGTGTATACTTGTATATACTTGCCTGCTGTGATGTGGTGTATATACTTGTATATACTTGCCTGCTGTGATGTTGCCATTTTTTAACCATGTGATCCTGGGGTCAGGGTTACCGCCAGATGAAGAACAGGTAAGGTTGAGTACAGTCCCCTCATTGTAGACAGAACTTGTGTCACTTCTGGTGATAACAGGTGGGCCAGGTGGCACTACAGGGATGAAGGTATTGAATAATTAATGATCAGGTTTTTCTTCTAATTGTTTATTCTACAGAATAATCTTACAGCAGATAAGGTACAGAAGAGATTGAAGACCTCCTTAAACACACTCATAGACTGGAATAACACACTATCAAATCAATTTTTGCTGACAACACTATCTTTTCATATGCCGAGGTCACAGAAACAGGTGAACTCTACTTCATCAGCCCCATGTGTCTATGACACAAAATGGAAAAAACGATGATATTGCTTTCTAGGAACCAGACTGTTCTAAATCTACCAATGTGCAGAGGCATAGCAAGGGGGGGGGACATATGTCCCCGGGCGCCGACCTTAGGGGGGGGGCACCAAATTGAAAGTTTGAAGGGGGGGGGGTGCAAATCGAAAGTTTGTCCCTGGGCACCAGGAAGGGTCGCTACGCCTCTGCCAATGTGTCTTGGCCAAATCTTTCACCAGTGTTACACAAAAATTCAAGAGCTTAATATAAAAAATTTTAAGAAAATATAACTTCAAGCCTTGTAAACATTTTCAACATTACAGAAAATACAACAGAATTTTTTTTTAAAATTGGAATTAACACTATGGGGTCATCCATAAATGACGTCACACTCGTAGGGGGGAGGGGGGGTCCGTAATTTTGTGATGATGAGTGATGAGGGGGAGGGGGGGGGGGGGGTTTAGATGTTGCGCGGTCACACTTTTGCATTATAAAAAAGCAATGTTAGAAAACGAATTTTAGACGTTATTTCGCATTTTAGATAACTGTTTTAATAAATTGTAATAGTTTAGGCAAGATTTTAGAAAAATATCGATGTTTTAAAAAAATTCAACTGCAATTTTAAGGGGGGGGGGGGTCTGGCTTTTTGTGACAACGTGTGACGGAGGGAGGGGGGGAGGTAAAAATCGCCAAAAAAAGCGTGATGTCATTTATGGATAACCCCTATTAGTCAGTTAATGATGAAACTAATTGAATAGCTTTGTAATTAGAAAAAGATATAGATATGAGAAATATTGGGAGTGATTTTTTGGACAAAAATATTGAGTTCATTTGTTTTATCGCAGCCAGCAAAAAGGTTATGTTAAATAGTAGCCAGATTTTTCTATTTGAATTACCATGTTGGGCATCAATGGAGAGCCAAAGAAAAAAAACCCCAAAAAAAAAAGCATGGATAGTATGATATTATTTAGCAGACTATAAATGAAAAAAATGTTAGTTTTACATAAAACAGTGAGAGAGGCCTTCTGTATCCCTGCGTCTTTTGTCCTACAGGCGAAGTATCCATTGTCTGCTTTCTGTACATTGGTGATGACTAGGTCGTATTTGTTGATGATGGAATATCTAGGTGGTGCATCAAATCTGTTATCTTTCACAAACAGTATCGAGGTATCTGGTTTAATGAGGAAAGATAATTATCATGATATAATTTTTAATTGAATTTGTTTTCTTTTACAAGTATCTAAATTAAATGAAAAGTAATGTTTATTGTGCAAGAGAAATAGTCATATCAAGGGACTGAATTTTATGGAGACAAATATTTATACGGTTATTTCCCTTGAATCATTAGTGATGAAAATTTAAATTGTCAAATATATAGATATCTAGGCCTAAGCACAGATTTTTGTTCTTTTTTTTAATAAATTAAACAGGAACATTTATTTTCATTCAATACGCAGAGGTAACTAGATACAAATCTTTTTTTTCTAATTTCTCTAAGAGTGAAAAAGGATAAGACGAAACTTTAAAGTTTCAGCGAAATAGAGGTTTATAATTTTTTTTTTTTTTTTTTTTTTTTTTTTTTTTTTTTTTTTTTTTTTTTTTTTTTTTTTTTTTTTTTTTTTTTTTTATGATTGGAAATTGTTTAGCCATGTACGTCTTCTCAGCTCTTTATAAAAAAAAAAATTAGCTCTATGAAGAACACATATACAAGTATAACTACATTACATGTATGACTGTGAAGGGGATAATGATCGAGGGGGGGGGGGGGTCCGCTGGAAACTAGAAGACTGAGCCAAGTATACAGATGGGTGTTAGGAGATATAAAAATAAAAGGGAGGTGGCAGTTTGGTATGAAGAGAAAAGATGGATGGGTATAACATTGGGGGGAGGGGGTGTATGAAGACAGAGGTCAAAGGTCTTACTTGAGTCGTCCTTGCTCCATATGAGGTTGGGGTCATCTGTGTTGAGTCGGCAGACGAAGGTAACGTTGTCGCCCAGCTTCACCACGGCACCCTGCGGCCGCCCTATCCACTCGACCGCCTGCCCACTGACCGCTGGGGAGGAGAGAGAACACTGGGTTAGTCACACTAGATGGTCACCTGGTACATTTAGTCACACTGGCTGGTCACAAGGTACATTTAGTCACACTGGCTGGTCACCTGGTACATTTAGTCACACTGGCTGTTCGCATGGTACATTTAGTCACACTGGCTGGTCACGTGGTACATTTAGTCACACGTCACGTGGTACATTTAGTCTGGTCACGTGGTACATTTAGTCTGGTCACGTGGAACATTTAGCCACACTTCACGTGGTACATTTAGTCACACTAGCTGAGCACATGGTACATTTAGTCTGGTCACGTGGTACATTTAGTCTGGTCACGTGGTACATTTAGTCACACGTCACGTGGTACATTTAGTCACACTAGCTGGTCACGTGGTACATTTAGTCTGGTCACGTGGTACATTTAGTCACACGTCACATGGTACATTTAGTCACACTAGCTGGTCACGTGGTACATTTAGTCTGGTCACGTGGTGCATTTAGTCTGGTCACGTGGTACACTTAGTCTGGTCACGTGGTGCATTTTGTCACGTTAGCTGGTCACGTGGTACACAATTAGTCACACTGGTCCCTCTTGGTCGGATTGTAGAGTGTACGACTGCTAACCTGAAAGTCTCGAGTTCGAATCTCGGGCTGATTCACCCAGCTATGGTGGGTACCTGACTCACGTTCAGTAAATGCGGCTGGGCATTGTGCTGACCACTTTACATTATCACATGCCGTGGTCACAGAAACAGGTGAACTCTACTTCACCTGCACCGAGGACCCATCATGACCCTCGCATTGTTAATCTTGAACCAGATATACATACCACTCCCCCCCCACCACCGAATGACTTCATTAATGGATGACCCTTAATAGTAGTAGAAATAGCGTAGAAGAAACCGTCAAAACTGTTGTCCCACTTTAGCATACTTAACTCCACAGAAAGTACAGATATGTATCTTCTTAATCAGGGAATAATCGTATTGGCTCAACCTCACCATAAATGTTGACATTATGTAAGGTCTCCCATAGGAGCGCAGATCAAGGGCGATAATACATCAAACATACAACCCGGGCTAAAGGTCCCGCTGATTACAACCATCAAGGGAGGTTACCCAATCCCCGTGACTAATGGTCAACAAGCCCGGTGAATTATAAACAAAGGGGGCATAATCCTCGTTGAAATGGGGAAATCACTTTTAATTCCTGCGGTTATTTTTAGAACAATGTTAGCGTGTTATCGCAGGTTTTGTTGTAGGGAGGGAGGGAGATGAGCGATAAAATTAAACGGGGAAAAACAGAGAGTTGATTAGTTAAAAGATGATGAAGGCGATGACAAAACATCGACATGCAAACCGTGCAGTGCGGTAAATTTGATTAAGTGATGCAAGATAATGAATGTTGCATGCTGGGATTTTTATAATTTTTTTTTGTGTGCATCGAAGATAAAGAAACTATTTCTACCAGAAAACGAATTCAATTTAAATTGTCAACATGATTAACGACCCGTTGAGCCTTTAACAAAGATTGTAAACACCTTATTAAATAGGGGCTTTGAAATTTATATTTGTATACGAATTAATAATTTGCGCTTTAAGATGTTAAAAAACTAAGAAATACCTACACACACAGACAAGATTGCAAAATTATGTTTTTCCGTATCAGTGAGGTGTAAAACGTCGAGATTTGTAAAAATCTCGATTTTATTTTTTGCACGATTACAATACTTCTCTATACTACGTATATACGAGTAAGTAAAAAAGGGCCCTTTATTTGCTATTATCTACTATAATCTACTATTTACCTAACTATATAGTCTTTTGGAAACATTACTTGAATTTTTTTTTTAAATTGAGATGAAAATGGTCATTTTAATAGTAGTCACGTAACTTTTTTGTGCTTTTAGAATAGGTTAAGACAGCTATTAGGTCTACTTTATAGACTCATAATTCCTGAAAAAATGGTATAATCTACCAAGCAAGGTGAAAAACATAAAAATGAACAAAACTAAGAAAAAAATTCATAAAAAACGGTTTAATAACAAGCTTGTATGTATTAATGAACTAAAAAGTAAAAAAATAAATTATAAACTATTATTTAAATAACTATAAAGTAAAGCATGGGTCTCTCCTAAACATTAGTAAAGGTATCCAATAGATACTAAAGTGAACCACGCTTTTCTTTATAGTTATTTAAATAGTAGTCTATAATTTATTTTCTAATTTTAGTGCATTAGTACATAAAAGCTTGTTATTAGAACGTTTTTTTATTAAAAAAAAATCAGTACTTTACATGTTTTATTTACACTAGAGTTTATTATCTATTAGATACCTTTATTAATATTTCTTTTCTTTATAGTTATTTAAATAGTAGTGTACAATTTATTTTCTACATTTTAGTGCATTATTACATAAAATTTTATTATTATAACATTTTTTTTTTAAATTTTCAGTACTTTAAATTTTTAATTTACAATGGAGTTGCATGACGAAAAACCATTGCGCACCTAATGAACGTGATGATGCATGTATAATAGGGCGGAACAGTTGGGTAAGACTGCTGGCTCATTTGGTCAAAATTTTTATCAATTCATAAAAAATTAATTAGGCAACCAATTAAGTCAAATTTAATTTCATGTGGCATTGTCTTTATATCTTGACCCACGTGGCAACATACGAGCCATATCTGTCAGTTAGAAGTGGCCGAAACTTCACTCGGGCGTTTTGATCTAGACTGACTACAGACAGAAAGTGAGTGAAATAGGGCACTCCCCAGCGCCGCAGGGGCTTCAAATTTGGCAGGATCATGCCTTAGGGCAATAGAACACGAGAGCTGGTGCTGGTTGGCCGCCAAGTCCACGGAGAGGGGGTCAAAACTGACCTCTACTGACTGGCGCCTTATATGGGCTATATTACGAACAAAAACTTTTGCCCAACGACCCCCCCCCTTGATATTTTGTGAGGTGGTAGGAGAACGCCTAGGGCTGTCAGAAAAAACTTGCCACATCTGGGAAAATTCTGCAAATGGGTCAAAACTGACCAGTTGTATTTCCCAATATAATCTTTGTATTTTAAGGGAAAAACAGAGGGTAATTTCAACACAGATTTTAGGGCACTTACTGTCTTTACATCTGGCTAATTTTTTGCATGCTTATAGGTAAATGGCTATGCCGTACGGTCAAGATGTCGGTTTGAATCAAAGCCCTTAATGAGGGCTAAAAAGTGACCACAAGTGACATTCTCCGTGCATGAGCTATATAAAAAAAATGCCTAGCGATCCCCCTGATATTTTGTGAGGTCGTAGACTGACCCTGGATGGTAACAAAAAAACTTTATTCCCGTAGGAAAAAGCCATTATGGTCGTTAAATGTCCAGATACCGTATTTTCTTATATAAGCATAGCAACTGTTTGTTTTAAAAAAAAAGTAAACAAAGACATACATTATTTGTTCAATTTTCAAGGGAAGTAACTTTTTAAAAATAATTATTTCTCAAACAATTGTATACTATTTTAAACATAAACAGAAAATGACGAAGTATAGCATTTGTTTCAGTAAAAAATAAGTTGTTAATTAAGGTATGTATCCAAATTTAAAAAATTAATTAATTTTAAAAGTCAATGTAATATAAATTATGAGATATACTGTTCATGTATTTTTGTAGTTCTAATTCCATTTTGTCATACATTGTGAACTTTCCAATACTTTCTCTTAAAATGGAATTTAAACAACAAACAAGAACAACATTTTCTCTAAAATTAGCATTACTGTTTAAATTTAAGCACTCCACACCTCAGCCATCACTAAATAATTAAGTATTCAATTTCTCAAATGTTTTTGAAAACCTAAGCGAAGCTAGGCAGTATGCCTAGTATTAAATAATGCAATTCACGTTTTGTTAATTTTTATTATGTTCTGCTTGATATTCACAGCAATTAGAACACACAAAAAATGTACAAATGGCAAGTTTGACATTAAAATAGATTTTTAAAAAGCATAACTTAACATTGTAAAAATCTTATAAATCAAATGCTTGAAGATAAAATGTTATCATGCAGGATAATCTAAAAACCTATTTTCTCATAATTTACAAATGTCACACCCCTCCTCTCAAGATGTGATGTTATGAATGTTGTGGAAGTTTGGGGATGTTTATGTCACTTAATCACAAAATTATGCTATTTTACTAAGAAACGATTCAATGTGTGAAGTTTGCCCCTTAGCATTCTTATGATTGGTGGGATGTCATTAGCTAGAAACATTGGCATAAACAAATTACTTGGTTTTTTTAAATTACGTGCCAAGTTTATTCATACAAGCTACTAGTTATCCTTTTAGCATGTGCGAGAATGGATTCAGTGTTAATATGTGGTAACCATCATTTTTAAATTAGCTGGCAATAATGTTTTTTAAAACAATTGTTTATCTTTTTCAATAATCTATATATATAATTCTCTTCTGGGAGCCGTTAGAAAACAAGCTGCAAGCGCGCCTTTGCAGTCCCCTCTCTTCTTCTCTATCACTATCACCCCCACATGATCTGGTGAGTTGTGGTTCACTCTAAATGTTTACAAATCGTAGAGCCGGGTTTGTTGACGGCTATTATGGGCAGATAATTTTGTTTTGAAATGATTTTAAACTTACAGGAGGTAACTAAGAAGAGGCTGCTATTCACGGGGGGGGGGGGGGGGGGGGGGTTAGTGTTGTAAAGCAAATATTTTCGGTGGCAGCATTGGTACTGTCGAATTCACAAATTATGAATTACTGAAAAGTAGAAAATAAAACAACTAAATAGCGGCGTATGATACGCAGCGGGTCGGCTCGTTATTATTAGTTTTTCTGATTCAAACTGACAATCAATATTGATTATTTATTCTCCTTCAATAATATACCAAACTCAAATACAAAGTTTTAACTTTTATTATATTTTTATTCTAAGAATCGTTATTATTGTGGTATGGTTAGTTTTCTTTTTAATTCATAATAATAGCTAGAGATAATGATTAAAATGTTTTTGCCCAAGTGAAAGCAATCAAAGTATGTTTAAAGATTTAATTCTAGAAAAAGAAGAAATGACGACAAGTGGTTGAAAAGTCTTTGCAAAATAATATCTGAACTCAAATAATAAAGAAATAAAAAGTTTGTAAATTTATTTACAATTTTTAATAGTTTACAAAAGTAAACTTTTACCTCTTAGACCTGACAGTTTGTAGGTGTAATTGAAATCTCCATGTTTAGATAAAGTCTCCCCAATTAAACAGCGGTCTTCATCTGAAATGGGCACTTTTACAACTATAGTAGAATTCTGGTGGTAGCAGGTCCGTACACTACTGTAATTGGCTTCCTGTCTGTTAGTACTGACAAAACAATACTGAAAAAAAGAATCCAATATACATTTTTATTCAAATGAGGCAAGGAGAATGTTCAGATGTTTTATTTTAACACTATATCAAATGAGCAGCTGCAGAGGTCAAATAAATTGTTCTGTATTTGTTTTGACATTACAATAATGTCAAAACAAATACACAGTTTTTAGCCAGGGCCAGGTAAGCAAAACAACAATGAACAATAAACCTATGATACTCACTGCTTTACAGTTCAAGCAAATTGAATTACAAAGGTAGAATGAAAGAGTTGGATTAATGCCATCCTGTTCCAAAACATGTAGTGAGAATTGAACCTTGGTAATATTCTCCTCTAGTACAAGCTTGTCAAAATATATAGCACTTACATTTGTACTGATTGAAAAATCTGTAGAACAAAAGACGTAATATATTGTTATTTATTACAAATTAAATTTTTTTCAATCGGCTACTAAACAATAAAATGTGAAGATTGAGAAATTATAGCATAGCAAGTTGTGTTTAGTTTTGAGTGTAGTGTGATCAAATAATGCTTTCTATGAATAGCAAATTCATCAGTGAAAGACAAACATACAACAGTTTATATCACACCTAAAAAATAAAAAAAAGTAAAAGTAACCTTATATGATATATATTATTCCACCAATAAAGTTAAACACTGAAGTAAAGTAAATTTTCTGGACCAACACTTAAGAACATTTTAACTGTCAGTCATCTTTATGACTGTAAGGTAGAGTTTAAGACTGCTAACCCAAAACTCTATAGTTATGGATGTCCATGAGTCTACTTAAATCAGATGGGTACCTGACTCAAATTCAGCAAAGTAATTAGTAAAGACAGCTGGGCACAGTGCTGATCACACTATGATTCACTATCACTGGTGAACTCTGCTTTCTCTGCCCATTGAAATGGTATTTAAATACAACTTTACATCTATATGATTTAAATTAGTGCCTAACTTAGTGGGAAGTAATTTAAGGTGAGCTAAACAGAAAAAGAAATCTAGGCATTAACTCCAACAAACACAAAAACAACCTTTACCTTATCATAAAACAATACAAGCTTAAGGATTGTATTGGAGAAAATAGTACAACTTACCTACTAGAAGCAATACAACCAGTAATGAAATTTTCATTGAAAAAGTACTGTAAAAACTGATAGCTTGCTCTAAAATGGAGGCAAAAGTAAGGCCATTAAAAGAATAAAAAATTACACACATAATAATTTCATGAGTTAGAGCATAACACATCTATATCCACAGAAGATTAGATATTATGATTTAAATAGCCTTAAGTGCCCTAAAGCAGACTAAATTTTTAGGGCCTACAAAAATCAACACATTTTGGACCGTTTTGAACTAAGTGGGATTCAAACTCATTGTCAAAACAATAGAAACAAGTTGTTCAATCATCAACACATTGTGTGTGAGATAAATATTGAAACATCAGACTCATTGGATTTGTAGCAATGCAGTGATAGCATTATTTATAATACAAACTTGTGTTTAAAAAATAGTCTGAATCACAGTTTATGTAAATTACAGTAAATCATCTGTACATTGATGTAAAACCAAAAAAGGGCACCAAATACTTTGGTACTTTGTAAGAAAATAGCTTATACTACAATTTTAATTGAAATCTAGAAGCCGTTTAGATCTAGTAAGTGTTTAAGTTTAAATAAAACTGAAAATTCCTTAAAACAAAAACTAGGCCTATTGGGCTTTGAATGAAATTTATGTGGATATTGAATGGCATATCACCCGTCTAGCTAGAATCTGGACTCTTGAGTAGTCTAAACTCAATGATTCAAAGTAAATCAACTAGATTTATCTAGATCTAGATTTATTCTAGGACGAAAAACTGATCTAATACTCATCTACTTCAAGGGTCAATTTTCAAAGTAACAAATATTGACATATTGTATATCAATTTTGATGCTTAACAATGGATGAATTAAAAAGGCTGCAACTATTCAGATCCTTAAAGGGCTACTGTTACTATTTGGACCAGGCATTAAATTTGTTAACATTTAGTTACACAATAATACTTTTAAAATGTAGACTAAATCTTTTATGTTGTGATCTTTTTTCTTGTAATACCATACGATACCTTTTTCCAAATAGACATAACTTGGGAAACTTCACTTTGTAATATACCAAATGAGTTTTTCAAGCCCATTCTTTGTTCTTGTATTAGAGCATTGGTTGTTGTATGTTTTAATACTATTTTTATAGCTATGGGTAGAATAGTTTTATTTTGGTGAATTTTTTTGCACAGTGATTATTGGTGCCAAAACAAAATGGCCGACATTAGTCCCATTTTACCATGCTATAAAGTTTTTATCATTATCAGAGTAAAACTTGACTGATCATTACCGTAATGGTTTTATTTGTTAGATAATAACTAAATCTACATGAATACATTAATTTTGTCCACTAGCTTGCCTGTTCAGAAAAGTTATAACACATACTGTTATGTGGCTCTTGATACCCTATGTGCAAGTTTCTCATTTATTAGACCACCGAATTTGACACTGGTATAGGAATAGTTAACACAAAATGTATTAATTGTTAAACAGACTTGTGTCTAAATGATAGAAATACAATTCTAACCTGCTAAAAAGTAAAAATTCAGCCATCTGATGTTAGCCAGGTAATTTTTAAAATGGTACACATACTTGTTACCCCCAGGAATAAATAACAGGAATAAATGTTTTTAGGTCTCAGCCAATATATGACCTTCATGGTCTAGCAGGGTGGAGACCAAAGAGGAAACAGTACCACTGCTCTCCCCTCACAATTTCTCACCCCCATGAAAGCCAGACCCCACCTGTATCTAACCCACCATAAAACTTCATCTCTTTGTAGGTAACATGGACTTAGTTCTTAGATCTCAGCCAACCAGAGATAGCATCTCCTTATGCAATTTATGGCCCTCAGGGTCCATCAAGGATAACAAAGGGGAAACCAGTACCACTGCTCTCCCCTCAAAATTTCTCACCCCCATGATACCCGATTGTAGGAAAAAAAGTCACAGGAAAAAAAAACACAGAAAAAAAGTCACAGGAAAAAAAGTCACAGGAAAAAAAGTCACAAATATATATTTGCATGATATTTGTTAATATTTTTATGTATTAAATATTTAGAGAGTGCAAATTAACTTAGGATTAATTAAATGTGATGTAATGTGTGTAGGCTGTATACGCATAGGATTTTTAATAATTCATCTAAAAATATTTATTATGAAGTATGTAGATTGTAATTATTTTAAACTTAAGATTAGTAGCATTTAATAGAATGCTCCAAAGTCACGTTTTTCATCGTGTTTTTTTTTAAATACCAATATTAAATTACCGTGAAATGGTAAGTTCGTCTGACTTGCTGCCCTCAACTCATGGCCACAATAGTTATGATTAGATGTTTAGTTCAACCACCTTTACTGCCCACATTTATTACGCTCATTACATAACAAAACTTAGGATCAAAACAGAAAGCCGACAAGGTTCAAAGGCTGTCATTGACGCATAACGTCAGCAACACAAAATATGTTCGGACAATGCCTATTGAGGAGAGGCCGACCAGAGAATAGCCTACGGCAAAATGTGCCTAAATTTCTTTTATAATTAACTTTTCTACCGCGTATTTAACTAAATACGTAACAAAAGTTGAGATTGTTGTGTTAATTATCTTAGAGTATTTTTACTTACAATTGTTATAAATCATATTGCTTTTAACGTCTATGAATAATTTATGCTATCAAAAAATACAACCCACAACTATAAACATACAAAATTTACAATTCTTAACAAATTCATAAAAATATTTCTAAAAAGATTTTTGTGACTTTTTTTCTGTGACTTTATTTCTGTGACTTTTTTTCAGATAAAATTTTTCCACTGTGACTTTTTTTCCTAGCAAAAACTGTGACTTTTTTTCTGTGTTTTTTTTCCTGTGGCTTTTTTTCCGTTTACCTGATACCCAGCCCCACCTGTATCTAACCCACCATAAAACTTATCTCTTTGTAGGTAGCATGGACTTAGTTTTTAGATCTCAGCCAACCAGAGATAGCATCTCCTTATGCAATTTATGGCCCTCAGGGTCCAGCAAGGAGAACAAAGGGGAAATCAGTACCACTGCTCTCCCCTCAACATTTCTCACCTCCATGACGTTATGTAATGTATAGCACACATGGCTTATCAGGGGAAAGCATTAAGGCAGATTAGTTAGTACTATCCCTTTTTACATCCAAAAATGTTAACTCTGGACAGCTACACACTAGTATACTAGCTACACACTAGGCATACTAATGTGCCTACTGTAAACTACTAGACTGTAGGCCCTGCAATTGTATCAATTGTAGACTGGGCCCATTGGGCAGTGATAGCTAGTATCAATTAAAGTGTGTGTACACAGCATTAACTATTTTGGGGTTAGAAATTAATTATTTTTATTTTGGAGTTAGTCTAAACTAGGAGATAATACTTATTGCCCCATTGCCCGGCTCCTTATACCCCAAATGTGAATTTTGGGGGTATGACAATAAATGTTCAATTAAACCCATTTAAAGTATGTTTAATAGACTTTGTTATTATTTATGTTGTAATTGCTATGACATCATGCTACGAATGGAAAATACAAACCAACGTAACTTTTTGACCTCTTTTGATGGCGAAAAAGAATTTCCCATTTTATAGGCTTTTTGATGAGAATTACAGAATGATTTTTTTATTAAAAATGTATCAATAATAGCTAGAACACTAGTAAACTAAGCTAATTTAGCATATTTTAACTTTCTGTGCAAAGTCATTATTACTGAAAAAAATTCCAAAGTCAGGTCAGCCTGTGGCACCCTCCACTGAACCTTAAATTAAAGAAGGAAAAAAAAACTTGACCCATGACCTTCATTAAAACAGAATTTACTTATGTTTCTTTTTAACTATTAGTAAACATGTGCTTAATATTACCCAATAAGTAATAAAAATTTGACAATTAATTTTAATTACTGTTGTAAAGTGAGATAAACAGCTTATTAAACACGTGTTTTCTTGAGGGGGTGTGACCCGGGTGTGGCACATCGCATGTAACTTTTTATTTCTGTGTTTTATGACTATTTGTTCACAATCAGCATGCTATGCTTTTAAAATTGATAAAGGGTAAGTATACCAAGCTACATAACCTACAATCTAACTAATAATTCATACTTTCAGTTTAAAAAATAATAAAAACGATCATCAATGAAGAAAGCGTAAACATTCTATTTTTAGGTGTGACATAAAAAAAACAGTCATAAACCTAGCCAAATGATTGGATTCTTGCGCGGCACACATTTTCCAGCGCCTCGTGTTCACCAAAAAAGATTATAATAAAATGGCATTATTACTTGAACAGACACATCTCATTCCAACCATAAGTTATTACCAGTTAATTGTAATGTGTGTAAAATTGATACTTTCAAGTTTCATATACACATAGTTTGGTTTATTATACACGGGGTATTTTAGAGTTATTTGATCCGAAAGATGAGAATTATATAGAGCTACTTTCACTAAGGCGCCGCTTGTGAGACAAAGAAATTAGGCCAAAAGTAGATCCGACAATTCTCAATTAATAGACTTACATAGAAACGGATAGTTCCAATTTCTAAAAGTAACGATGGCTTCATAATCATTAGTTTTATCCCTCTACCTATTAGTGAAAGCGAAACTGGTCGCCATTTTTGGTAAGCGCATGAGCCGTGAGATGGCTTCAAAACAACAAACCCAGAAGCTGTGAATCGAACGGCCTACATTTTAAGAAGTTAATTGGTCATTTTGTTTTTGTTTGTTTTCTCGGCCCCTAATTAAGCTAGACTATTAAATTTGGTCTCAAATTAACCAGTAAATGATATGGTTTGTAATGATATATGATAAGTGACAGAAAATTTTAACTGAAGAATTTAATAATTTCTGCTACAACAAACATTACCCGATAATTTCCGGCGCTAAAGTTTAGCGGCTAAACTAAGGGTAATCTATCGTTTTAGCGTAATCAATTCGGCCGCAGTAATAATGTGCGGGAGAGGTAACTGATGAATATATTTGTTTAATTAAGTATATTTAAGTCAAATTTTACAAAATACAACAGATAATTGATTTAAAATAAAAAACAGTGACCAAAACAATTTAAAATA